GGTCAGCCTCGTCAAAGACTACATAAGGCCCGACCTCCAGGGAGTCAACATTCAGTCTTGCTATGCTGACTCGATGCCGGCTGTACGCTGGCACCGTGGACGACAACGCGAGACTGCTGCTGCATGCTGGCGCCTTACTGCTTTGGCGCCAGCCTCTGCTGACATGGCGCAAGGCAATGCTGTCTTCGACATTGCTGATGTGGCGCATGCCACTCTGTTTTCATTGCTGACATGGCATTTGCCACACTGTCTTCACTGCTGAGTTGGACGCGACAAGGAGGGGGATCGGGATCTGTGGATGATTGAGAGAGAGAGGATACTTCTGTTGACGTCGATACTGTGCGCTGCTCAACGTCTTCACGGGAGAACTGTGCCACGTGCCACTTTGATGTGATCAGGACCCTGTGGCCATTGATTGATACCATCTCTTCCACCTTCTACTCTTTCTAATCCCCCTCTCCTCTCTTGGTCTATTGAATATGAGACATTGTAACAGAGATCACATTCATGATTATTGGAGACATTCTTCAGCGCTGAGATTTCTTGTACTTCGACATCTAATTAGTATCTTCCAAACTGGGTTCATTACAATTTCGTATTGGAGCATACCTTCTTTGTCGCGATCTGCTGCCAGGCGCCACGTGGCGCCCAGGTTAGTGGAAGGTGCCGCAAGGGACTGGAAAGAAACGTGTTCATTAACGCGCACGATTATTATCGCGAGACTAGACATTGACTGCCACGCGCACATGCACGCTCCCTCCAAGATGTTGGCGTGGACACCTTGAAGAGAAGACGGCGACACTGCTTACATGGCAGTTGTTGCTGACCTGGTGATTAGATACCGGCGAGAGCATCGTTGGCTGCGGGCTGACGTGGCACGGTGAAAGAGGGAGAGAGAGTGTGGGTATCGGGTCTGCTGCGCCTATGTGGCATGGCGCAGGGGTGCTGATGTGGCATCCTAGGACTGGCATGGCATTGTCTGATGTGGCACTTACCTGTGTCGCGACTTACCTGCTGACGTGGCGCTCCACACTGCAGCGGTACTTCGACCTGACGTGGCATACCAGTGGTGGATGATCTGGCAGTTCGTGCATTGCTAATGTGGCATCCCTCCCGAAGGCCTTACTGGCCATTGACACTGACGTGGCAGACTCCGTGGAGCTGCTGTGTTGGCCTTCCAGGGGTGACACGTGGCAGACTTTGTGCGCTGCCGTGGGTGAGGAAGTGATACTTGCACTTGTGTGCTGCCGGGCGGTACAGCTTCACGATTTGCTGTAGTGCCACACGCTCGCCCTTGTGTCTGGCCACATTGGTATCTGCAGATGGCACAGCCAAAAAGGAAAGGATGCTGACATATTGATTGTGTTGTTGTGTTGGTTGACTTACTCACTTGTCTTGGTTGTTTTGTGGTTGCTGTGTATACTCACCTGTGTGTTGTGTCTTGATCACACTGGTCGTGGCTGCGGTACGTGTACATTCTCATTAGGACGTCATCACACATAGAACAGACTACAGAAGTTAGAGATAGGAGTAAATTGAAATCTGTTCCTTCATTATTTTGTTGTTTATTTATTTCTTGTTGTAGGAGATTGAAACCGGGTGTAGCCGTGGCATTAATTACTGTCTTGTAATTATTTATTGTGCGGCAGACACACATTGCGAAAATGTCTTACCTCTGGAATTCCTTGCGCCTTTCTGTCTTGACTCGTTTCATCCCTTTTCTTCTTCCCTGTACCCATGACCTTCTTTGCTGATGAGGAAGGTGCTGAATTGAGAACCCGTAGCCAAATTGAAAATAGACGGCAAGAAATATTGGGCCGTCTACATCAGTTGATCACCGGCTTACGTGCTGCTGGAACCGACGTTGAACAGCAAGTGCGCAGCCAGTTCGATCTGCGCGCAGCAGAAAGCGAACTAGAGCAGGCTGCGACCGCTGTTCAGATGATGGAAGCCAGCACCCATGTACAACGGATTATTATTCAGAGCCGACAGGCTCTGGATAAAATTGTGATTGGTCAACTGTCGGAGACAAAGGAAACGAAGAGGAAGGAGAGAGAAGTGAAGAGAAGAAGGAACCAGAATTGTGTGAAGAGATAATGATGGGAAACATAAGGCAATTGGAGGACGCATTGAATGCAGAAAGGAGAAAGATGGAAGTGCAATCAGACTCCACTCTGGACTTGCTCACAACATGCACACTTGAGAACCGATGGCAAAACTGAACTCTTTCAACTCAAAAACAACAATGAACTTGTCTTAAACTCAA